TTTACCTGGCTAATCTGAGGGAGGGGGCAAGGCCAGCTTCCTGCCGAATCAACCAACTCGCTCTGCAGGCTGAGACTGTGACAGCTGATGCATGGGGGTGTTTATTTTCCCTGTTCAGTTTTCGAGCTGACCAGGTTCCTGCCCTGCCTCTGCCCAGCTGCAGGAAGGGCAATGCTGCAGCAAAGGCAATGCTGCAGCAAAGGCAAAGGTGGGGTTACATGGGCAGAAACACAAGGGAGGGCTGACGTGCACTAAAGCAGTACACTGTGATGCAGAAATAAGGCAAGACAATCTGAAAAAGCACTGCTGCATTATTTAAGACATGAAGAACTTGTCTTTGTTAACTCTTGCCAGCTGGGTTTGCAGCATTACAGCTTCAACAAAAGGTACAGCATGAACCACACAGTAGTTTTCAGGCTGAAGTATTTGACTCCTTCAAGATCTTTGTGCTGCTGCTGAGGGCTCTGGGATAATGACCAAGGCAAGTTTGTAGCCAGCAGGCTTCCACTTGTCATGTGCACATCTGCACCTTTACTGGAGAATGGTTACTGGCCTTCAAAAACCAGAAAAATACTGTGGTGGATGCTAAGGACAGCAGAATGTTCCCACGAGAGGTGTGAGAACGTGGTGCTGCTCAGGCAGTACAGATGTTCCTCTCGCTGACTCATTCACAGTCAGTTGTTCTCCTTAGCAGGCTCCAGCAGCAGCATCACTGGACTCAACTTACATCAAACAGCCTCAAATACAAGTGTCAGTGTGAATGTATTCATTTACAAATTACTGTAGTTTGGCTTTACTAGATATCAGAAAAATAACACTGTACAGTTATTTTTATGCAGCTGGCCTCTTTACCTGGCATTAGCACTTCTTGGTGCTCCAAGCTGCCTGGGAGAAGCCCAGGACTGGATTGACGTCACACATCTGGCCTTAGGACATTTATCTTTTCCTTTATATGGGGTGCACTTATTTCACATAAGCAGTTCCAGGTCAGCTTTCTTACCTATAAATTGTGAATGATAGCATCAAGATAGATCTTTCTTGGCCTGCCAGAACTGTTCTGTCCTGACAGTCTGTTGGCTGGGCAGGACTTGCTTCCCTACTGTCATCATTCATTTTCATCTCACACAGATCTTTTACTCCATTTCCCAGGCAAAGTTCTGGTTCCTCTAAATAAAACAATGCCAGTATGCAAACTCTCTGCTGCTTTCCCCAGGGGCCTTCAAAAGGAGAGTCTTTGCATTGGAACTTCCTTGTGCCAGCAAAGTAAAAGCCAGTTCCAGGCCAGTCATGCCAAAGCTGGAGCACTGGGAGGGTGTGCATGGACAAATAGAAATTATCTGTACAAAATACCCCAAGAGCAGCCCCCAAGTGCTGTGCCTCTCACTGGCACACAGGACTGTGCTGGTGGTGGGACAAGGGAGCTTAAGCACATGCAGCATTACTACTGAAAGACTGGTGAGGGATTTGTCTTTGAAATTATTCGACTTAAATGCCTCTTTTAAAATTATGTAATGGGATATCTTACTTTAAACTGGGATTAACAGCAGTAATAATACCTCGTAGTTTATGTGCAGTATTACTAAATTTGGTCAGTGTAGGTAAGGCTATGTCTAAAAGTATATGAATTCATATTCTTCACAGGGAGCTGCTTTTTTGAATTCTACTGATTTATGAAAGGAAGGAGAGTTTTCCCAATGGATTGAAAATCATATGTAGATACAAACTCTAAAGTACATATGAGAAACATTCAATAGGAAAACTACATGAAAGAAAAAAATGTATTCTGGTCTACTTTCACCTCCCTCCACAAGTAAACAAAAACACATTGGAGGTTTGTTTGAGCTGAAAAAATAAAGATAACTGAAGCAGCAGGTGGGAAAAGGACAGAGCAGCTGGAACAGGCCAATACTAAATGTTGCCAGATTTTATACAATCTGTTAAACTGAGAGGCCGCTTTGGCTTTAACTTTGAAAGATATTGACTTTATGCTCAGGAAGCATAAAGAGAAATTTTTATACATGACTGAGCTGAAATGTAAATTGAGCTACATGGTTCAAGCTGGTTAATAACAGTTCCAGTCAAATGCAACCAAAGGTGCAATGATTGCTTCAGCCAAAGGAACTCCAGCAACCGACATTCTTGGTGGAGGTTTGGGGTTGTTTTTCCAAAATGCTTCTCCAAGTAAATCCAATTCTTTCAATTGCAACATCTATGGCTTCCTAAGTATCATCTGCCTTCTAGTTCTGTGTTTTCTGCAAGTTGCTTCTATATGAATTCCAGTGTGACTAGAGCTGCTGAAATGGTTTTTAGCTGCTCTCTGCTGAACATCTTCATCCTTAGTAGTAGGAGAAGGAAAAATGTCACTAAAAGAAGTTAGAACTTTTGAACCAACGTTAGAACTACAAGCAGACCCAAGAGAGTAAAACAAAGAAAGGAAAAAGGTACCAGGGCAAGTTCAAAGTAATGAGGAGGGCTGAAAAGCCTAAAAAAAGTATTTTAAGGCAGTTCATACTTCAGTTATTATTATATATAGGAGAAAATTAATTAATCTTGAGAGAAGCTTTGTAATATTAGAATATAAAATTTTTAATTCCCTTAAGTCATATTTAATTTTAAAATGACACATTTTCATCAGCACTCCCATGGTTAGGGTGTGGCTGGCATTTCCTTGGAAAAAACCCCCAACCATGAATTAAAGCACGGTGTAAATTAAAGCACAACATAATCAATGAAGCCTAAAACACACAGCTCGTGAGGCCACACCTGGCACATCTTTCCATATTTGCCCTGTAATAAAATCCTTCAGTAAGTTTCCATGGAACAAACTCTTCTGTTTTCTGTGCTGCTGTGGTGGCCCTTTCACATCACTGGCCTTCCCTATGGGAGCAAAACCCCATCCAAGGAAATGGCTTTCCAGATCAGAATTTCAGTGCACATCAGCCCCCAGCCAGAGAACTGATTGTGCCCAGATCATGCACAGAGGGCATTTGCACAAAGTGGTTCTTAAAAGGCAGAGAAGGTGGTAACTCAAAGAAGGGTTAGGTGCTTTTCCCTCATTTTGGATATATATTTTACATATATATGGATTTCATATATCCAGAGATCTAATCCTGTAAATGGTTATTACTGTCATTTCTGTGCAAACCAACTCCAGTGAATATATGTGGATGAAATGACATTAAAAACAATTCTTTGCTATCTCCAAGATTACATGCCCATTAGGGCCACACCATGAGCCTGAGAGGTTGGATCACCTGCTTCCTAGGAACTAGATGGTGTAAGGAAGGAGGTACAAGTGTGGGATTGTAATGACCATCCTGTAATTAAGATACAAGAATGGAAGCCCTGAAGGAATAGATTTGGAGTTGGCTGTGCTACAAGGCTTGCTACATACCTGAAGCCTACTGAACTTGATTGATCACTTCAGCCTGTCCAGTATTAAAGTGAGCTCAAATGCTCTCTGCTCTAGAAGTTGTAGTAGTATTTGATATTTTGGTACTTCGAGTAGTTATAGAAAAAGAACTATCAGCTGTCTTATTGATGGGTCTGTAATTACAGGCATCTCAAGCACTCCCACTACTAGGAAAAAAAAAACCCTCCTTGAGATCAAGGAGTTGACTTTTTCATGAGATAGAAACTATTGCAACATTATGCAATTTGCTTGCTGCTAGATGAAGTATTTAATATTCAAAACAACTCTTTAATGCTTCACAAAGTGGATAAATTTAGGTGGTGCTCAGAAGTCCATTAGGTAAATTCAACCTCAAAGTCTATTTTAAGAATAATTTTAACACAGAAATATGAATTAATTTGGTTGTCATCTAGGTTAAAAGACATTCAAATGAGTAATTTTGCTAAACAACATTGCTACATATGTGAGAGGTGAGCCAAAAGATTCTTAAGTTTCAAAGACCCGGCTCATTAAGTTTCCACCTGAAGTTAGCTTTAATCTCTAGCTTCTATCTGAAGTCCCTTAAGATTGATTTCTCTCTAATGACTTCCACGCACATGCTCAGCAGCTGGAATCAGGTTGTGTGGATCCCTGCGTGGAACAGGCTGACCAGCAGATGTCCCCAGATTCTAAGTAATCACAGTTAAAGCTTCCAAAATCTTCAGTGCCCTTTTGCACGTTCCAAAGGATGAAGCACCGGAGGCTACAAATGCTCTCGCTGCTTCCTCACACACATTCTTGTAAAAACTAAAGTTCTGAACCAGGGAATACTTGACTGCTGACACAAAGCACCTTTATTGTCATAGAAAAAGTGTCTGGATATTGATTCACTTTTTATGACATGCTGCCTATTGATTGATTGTCCTTTGTTTTATTTTCAAAAGCACTCTAATTTTCTTTCCCCTAGAACAGCAACACCCCCCCTTCCCAAATAGCACCTGTAACACTTTTTCCTGGAGGTTCAGACAGAGGAAGCAAGACTTTTTCCAAACTAGCATCAATTAGTTTTAACTTGGATAGTACCAAACTCATAAACTGTTTTTGCTCACCAAATGCTTTTACATTTCCCAACAAACTCCTTTAAAGCTAAGGAGCTTGCAGGAGGCTGAAGACACAAAGGTTGCTGTGTGGTGAAGGAATGAAGAGAGGCAGCTTAGTGAGAGGTATAGGAGACAGACTGAGCCATGTGTTCTAGCTGTGACTTTCTTCCCTACCAACACCAGAAATTTAACTTTGTTTGATTTGGCATTAAACAGACTAGTACATAGGAGCAAGAGGGCTTGGAGAAAAGCATATAAGTGACTGCAGATTTGTTTGGAACCCTTCTACCTGTTTCTGGAGGGATGAGGGGATTACCTTGCTCCGTCTGATGACCAGAATGCCAGATTTCTCAGCGTTGCTTACACGAAAATTTGCTTCTTGAGGGGACTGAAAACTAATTCCTTTAACTTCATGGTTAGAAGAGTCTAACAGTATCTAACACAACTACAAAAAGAGCATTAAAATGCACACCCACGAAATTAAAGATGACCGCACAAAATGAGGTGAACTGGCACTGAAAGTTTTTATCTGTTTCAGAAATCTATACATTTAGATACAAAACGGCATTAACACAAAAATTTACATATTTTCAACTCTTGTATTACACAAGTAAAGAAAGTGTTATGTTGTAGATGTATGTGTACAATATAAAAATCTTCTGAGTGTATGGGTGGAAAAAAAATCTGAATAGAGCCCCAAAGAGAACATACTGTAAATATGACTGTCATGACACAATGAAGTCAATTATTCCCAGACAGAGAAAAGTTTACTTTCTAAACAGTGTATGTGAATACTGTAAGAAACTTGAACTTGCTCTGATATACATATATGTATTTGCCAAAAATGTTTTTTAAATGCTGTCTTGGCTGAGCCTTCTTTAGAGTCAATCATGTCAGAGTAGTGAATCACAGGGATACTAATTTAAAATAAAAGGAATTAGAAACCTAAGATATTCAACGAAATCTGAATTTTGAGTACTTAATATACACATAAACCCTATTAGAGCAGGAACAGAGATCAAAAGACTGATATTGTGTATGTCTGTGTCTCTTGCAAAAGATGGAGGCAGAGTTTCTTGCCTCCATTCCTGTGTATGATCCTCATACTACATCTGTTAGTAAGGAAAATTCCTTAGGGATTAAATCCTGGTTTATTGTTTTTGTAAACAGAAAATTCTTATTCGGTGATGGTTTTGTTATGTTTTTAAAGTTGTGGCAATCTAGTGGTAACAACATTAAAATGGGCATGTGTAAACTTTGAAAAGGTAACAGAAAAAAAGAAGTTTGTGGATACAGACTCAGACTGAGATGCCACAACTGTACCAGCTGGATAGTACCTGACAGTGATTACTGCAGACACTGTACTTGGAAGGTACACGTATGTATGAGGTGGCTTAAAAAAAAGCCAGATTTCCTGATCATCTTTACCCATAGTAAATCAAATAGTTTGCACAGAAGTCTTCATTATTTACACGTCAACTATACAAGTAATACAAAAGAATATCTCAGTTGAGCACCAGTGCTGACTTTAGGAGCACTACCTTCAAGTCAGAGTATTAGTATTCCCTGTCACAAGTAAATTCTGATATACGTCCACAAGTTTCCATTTTCTGGATCAGTTGTATTCAGTCCACTTCTTTGTTCATGCCCACCTTTGACATTCCAAGAAGATTAGTGATAGCAGCAGTTTTATAAAAAGTCTGGGTATCCTGGACAGCTTTCCCAGCATAACCAGTTCAGATCTTTTTGAAAGAAAAGACCATCAAATCCACGGATCTGGATTGTAAGGTTTTACCAAGAGTTCTTTACATGGCGTTTATGTACAATTCATGTGAGAATAAATGGTGGGAACAGACTCAGTTTGTGTGTGCAAACAGCAGGATGTCCAGCAGTGGCAGGAGTCCACAGTGGGGTGTCAGTGAACTAGGGCTGTCATGTCACCTTGGTTTGGAGTAACCATAAGGACACCGAAGCATCAGGCTGTCATGACTAGGTAAGACATGAGTGCTGTAGTATTCAACCAAACTTCCCATGTTCAAAAACATGATGTCTGAATCCAGGTAAAACTTGTCATCCTGTTGTAGAACAAAAACCATATGTAATCACTGACAGTAATGTTTCCAACTCATTGTTTAAAGAGAAAAAGCCAAAACCCCATCATCAGAATTAAAGAAGTTCTTTCAAACATATGACTGCCCTGCAAACTAGTCAGTCACACAAATAAGTCCATATTAAACTCAGGAATTTAATATTCCATCCTTTAGGATTCAACTGGAGCTGAAATTTAGATGTGAACATTTACAGTTTATCTTTCATGTGATACACCAACTAGACAGCCCAGATCTGAATACTCAGACTCTCACCCTAGACAAGATATTTGTAAATCAGCTGATTTTTACTTTCAGGAACGACAACAAGTTTAGACTTTAACTTACTAATTCCAATATATACCTATATGCACCCACATTTTATACACACACACATATATATAATATACACATGAACACAGAGTGCAGTGACTAACCTTTTCAAAGATTCTGTAGTTTCTCACTTTTCCTGAAGGTTCATCCCATACAACCAATACCTTGAAGAAGAAAAATGCAACATATTCAGTCTATGCTACCAAGCTCTTCTAAGTCAATGTATTATTGAGGAATCAATTAAAATTCAGCCTAAAAAAAAAAAAAAATCTCCGACAGGACAGCAATTGTCTCAGATTTTCTTGCTTTAAGAAAAGAGCCCATCTAAATTATTAAGTACTTTGTCATACATAAGATATAGTATGTCTCAATCAAGAAGTTTTTTGGGGGGTAGATTCAGCAATTGCAAGTTACCTTTCCAGGCTTGGTAGATGAGTTCCTAATACAGTACAATCCATTTTGCGGTTGTCCTTGTGGGCTACTAGCTTTAAATATCCTAAAAAGAATAAGCAATTACATATATTAGCATTTTATGGTTCAGATAAGTTAAGTGCCTACAGTCCTAAAATTCTTTTTTACAAATCTCTATATCAGTTGTAATAATTCATAGTAGATCATCACTGAAAGAATGTCACTGTTCTAACATCCAAACCAGCAGTGCAGCACAGAAGATCTGGCTTTCTGGTCTCATCTACTTTCCTGGCAGAACAACCTTCCCCAAATGGAGCAAAATCACGTTGCATTCTCATCTATCAATTGATACACGAGCACTGAACTAACTTCCCTAAGAAGGGATTTCCATATTAAATACTTGTAGTGTGTTTTTAAACACAAGTTGTACCTATCAAAATTATCTTTGGACTACTGCTCAGTACAGGTTTTGGTAGGACTTCCAAGTAACTATTTTAAAAGTCACATTTTTACCTTTCAACTTCGAAGGATTCAGAGGTATTAAGAAATATTGAAGCAGGCAGCCCAACCTGTAAAAAATAGGAAGAAAATAAAATCACCGTGTAAGTCAATGACAACTAAATACATGAGCAACTTGTTATGCAAATAAGTTACAGCCATCACTATCTGAAATTATTAATGGTGATTTAATCAATACTTTATGCTTTTTTCTCCTTTATATCCAGTATTAAAATCCAGAACTTATCAAGGCATTCTCAAAGAGGTTCAAAAAGAAATTAAAAAAAAAAATTACACAGCACTGTGCTTTCAGAAAGCTATTCTTTTCCTGGAATAATGTATTTAAAACAATTGCCAAAAGTATACATGAGCAAGGAAAAAAATATTCTTTGAGAATGGATCATCTGTTTAATCTTACTTTTTCATAGTCATCATCAGAGTTATCATCATCAGGTTGGCTTGGCTTGGAGGGTAGTGCTGGTTTTTCAAATGAAAAGCTTCTAAAACTCTGTCCATCTGGTGGTGATCTCCTGGAAGAAACAGAACGAAAACTGAAGGATATGTCATCAGGAAAACAGAACAAATTTACACAAAACACTGAAGGGATAGTAAACCTAGAACAGAAATTTCAGTTTAGCCCCCAAATCATAGAACAGTTTGGGTTGGAAGGGGAACTTAAGGATCATCTCGTTCCAACCCTCCTTCCACTCAACCAGGTTGCTCAGAGCCCCATCCAACCTGACCTTGAACACTTCCATGCTCCGAAACTTCTCTGGACAACCTATTCCAGCAGCTCACCACCCTCACAGTAAAAAAATTAATTCCTAATATCTAATCTAAACTTACACCTTCCCTCTTTCAGTTTAAAGCCCTACCCCCTTGTCCTATCACTACATGCCCTTGTGAAAAATCCCTCTCAGCTCTCTTGTAGCCCCTTTAGGTACTGGAAGGTGCTGGAAGGTCTCCCTGGAGCCTCCTCTTCTCCAGGCTGAACAACCCCAACTTCCCCAAGCCTGTCTTCACAGGAGAGGTGCTCCAGCCCTCCAGTCAACTTAGTGGCATCCTCTGGACCAGTTTCAACAGGCCAACACACCTTTCTTGTGATGGGGGCCCCAGAGCTGGAAGGCAAAATAATTTGAGTAATCATAGATTAATTTAGGTAGGAAGAGACCTCTAGAGGTCATTTAGTCCAAGCTCCTGCACAAAAGAGGTCCAACCAGATCAGTCAGCTCAGGAAGCTATAACCAATCACGTTTTGAGTATCTCCAAGCATGGAGATTCCACAGCTACCTCTTGCTCTGGTGTTTCACCATCCACATGGTAAAAAGTTTTTCCTAATACCTACCTGTAATTTCCCAAATTGTGACTTCTGCCTGTTGCCTTTAATCCCAAAACACTGCAGACCTAGGAGGTCTTGCTCTGTCTTGCCATACCCACCCACTAAGTAGTAGCAGGTACCAGTGATCTCCCATCGGTCTTCCTAAAGGTTGAATGAATCCAGTTCTCTCAGCCTCTCCTCACTTATGTGCTACAGCCCAAATATCTTGGTGGCCTGACATGGGACTCACTCCAGTCTGTCAGTGTCTTCCTTGTATTTTGTCTTTAAAGAGTGTATTACTTGTTCTTCAGAGCTGCTGAATGATCCAATGGACAAAAATATTTTCATCTGATTCACCACCATAACTAGTTCCACATCCCTTACTGAAGTTGATCTTAATATAAAATGGAACACATTTCCTATCTCCACAGAAGCCTGAAATTGTTTCTGTAGTTCCTTGAGGTTCTGACATAAAGGCTTCTTATTCACTGCAATCAAAGGCTATTAAGGCTTTGAGACTCACCTGAAAACAAATGAACTATAAAACTTTGGTGTAATTATTTCTTTTTTTGGTTTATCTACTATTTCTTTCTGAACTATTTCTGAAACTAAATTCATTACAGAATTTTCCAATAACAAACACAGGCAATAAAAGCACAACACTGAGGAAGAGAGGGATGGTGCAGGGAAGAGAAACAGGTATCACTATGAATCTGAGAAATATGACTGTCTACTAGTTAACTAATACACAATGGAAAAACATAATTGTGCATTGTGTTTTCATACTTACTGTAACTGGGGACATGAAGACTTCTCTGCTCTAGGCTTGATTCCAGGGGGCTGGTGGCTTGGCACAGGTGGCTTTGGGAGCACTGGTGGCACAAACAGTCCAGGTTTACCATGTTCTCTTGGCACTTTCAGCTCCACTGGTTTTTCAGTGAGCTGTGACAGCTTGGGTTTATTGGCTGGTAGTGGAGGAGGAGTTCGCGGTGAAAGGTTTAAGTTTTTTAGCTTCTCGCATCCTTCTGGAAGAGCAAGGACTTGGGCTGGAGGCAGAGGGTCTGGAGGCAATGGGTGAGATTCTTTGACACACACAGGCTTCTTGAAAACAGGCAAAGGGGGCACAGGGGGCAACTGCTCACTTAGTCTCCGGCTTGAGGACTGAACCTTCAGATTAGGTTCAGCTCGGCACTGCAACTGCGGCTCTCTCGTGGTTACGGGATCCTCTAGTTTGATATCAGGTAAGCTCCTCTTAGGGGGTGGTGGTGGTGCTGGTGCTGTAGGTTTGCCAGCATAGGAATTTGCCCTTGCTTCTGTGTAGGCAGCTTTTCTGACATGAGGAACGGGTGGAGGTGGGTATGCTGGGGGCAGCACCATATCTGCAGAAAGAAGACATCCAAAAGCATGACACTCTGAGGGGAAATACAGTATGTCAACAAACAACACTTTTCACTTTAATTTTATAGGTGATTTAAGGTATTTCACTGGCATCTGGTCTGACAGTACCCAAAATGCTGGATAAGCATTTAACTTTCAGCATAGTTCTTCATGTTATAGGCAGTAAACTCCTGCTATTTTTATTCAGGCATGGCCTGTGATGACTTAGCAAAGGCTTTTCTCTTTGCTAAAAATAAAGAAAAAACAGACTACATTAAAAGCATTAGTCCTGCTCCAGACTGATGGCCAGATGCAGGTCATCCAGGGCAGGAGGCCTGCAAGCATGTTCTGCTTTCTGTAAATGGTTACTGCTGTTACTATAAACTTCTGACCCTAAATACCTCTCAAGATTAGATATGCGTGCATTACTTCAGTTATTTTACCACTTGCAATGTTTTAGTTATGACCAAAGCTAAATAATAACCTGGCATTCCATGTGAATATTGCCTTCACTGGGGGCCTTTCATAAAGGGAATCAAAGAAATCACATACCATCTTTCACTATGTCACAAGTATCTGGCTGCAAGTAGGACTCATCCTCTTCCTCCTGGTCGTAATCTGCAGATAAAAATAAGTGTGTTAGACTCTGATAAGTAGTCCTGGAACCAAGAAAGAGTATCAACTACTTAGGGCTCTTTAATAAACAAATATTTTTCAGAATTTTTTTTAAAGAGGTAAAAAAAAAAAAATTAATAATTTTGGTCCAACTCTCTGCCATCTAGAATAGGTGTTTCCTTAAATTTTAATGTCAATTAAGAAAGCTATCACTTACAACAGGGGGAGATGAAGTACACTAAATATGAAATTTTTTCCCAACTTTTAAGTTAAAATGTCTAGTGCTATAGCCTTCCTGAGAAAAATTCTAATCAGTTGCAGAGACACAACTGCATGGATGCATTGGCAAAACCACTTGGAAAAAAATATAATCCCCAAAACTTAACCCTAACACAGAAACATTTATGATTTTGCAATATGGAAGCCTAAGCAAGCCTAGTGATCTACAATTAACTCTGTACCTTGCTCTGGCAACAAAAAAAAAAATGCACCACAACAAATGGCTTAAGTGGTTTCAATGTTGCCTCTAATTGTAAATCAGAATAATCAAGACAAGAAAAACATGTTACTTCTAGGCATACTTTCTCATTGATTATAAGGAGTCTCAAGAACAGTATGAGAGGAATGCACTAAAAAGAGAAAAAGGTAAGAATAGAAGAACTGATTTTTATCAGATAATTTTCCTAATTTAAACTCCTACTAGGCCTCTTACCATAATTCATCTTGCATACAAACCTTCCCTCCCATAAACACAGAAGGACTAAACTACTATCCTACATGAAATGCTGATGAGTTAGTTTTCCTCTGCTTTGCAGCAATTGAACCGGATTTCCCAACAAGACTCAGTCCTGCCTTTTTGTCTTAGTCAAGAAAAATAGTCAGGAATTTCCTTTCAGGAAATGAGAGTACTCGCTCCCATCAACCCTGCCCTTAGAAATCTGAAAGGGAAGATGAGAAAAGGCCTAGTAAAGGATTTCTGTTGAACCCTGAGGCAAGGTTTCTTATATTGGATTTTACTAATACATTTCTTGACTAGAAGTCAGTTGCTGAAATATGTTGTGAGTGCCTTCCGGATAGGCTCTCTGTCATGTCCTCACTTCTAACTAACCTCCTTGAAAGATCTGAATTTCTTTATTTTTACTAACAGAATATCTGCTTCTGATTTAAAAGTACAACAGCTATACACCTTGTAAAAAAAACAGTTGCAAAATGGATCAGTTTGCTTAAGTTACGGGAATAACTCCTGCAGAATCCAGAAGACATAAATAAACAAATAAAGAAGTCTTATTTATCAGCGTCTGATTTGTCACCTTCATTATCTGCTGAATGATGAGAATACTTGATATCAATGGGACGTTCTACTGAGCCATAGAAACTGTCTGCATCAGAACCAGAGTCACTGCAAAAAAAAAAAAAAGACAGAGTATCTTCTGTTTAGCAGGGCTCTAGCACTGGAAAAGAATGTTGGAAAAGCAGAAGCCATCTGTTCCTATTTCCCAATTAACAGTCTTATATGTTGCTGCTGTCTTTTAAAAAGATTGTATTGCACAAAGCTGACATTTAAAGTTCTCTTAGTAAAAAGATTTATTTTTGTCTTGGTGTTCTTTAAAGTATGAATTAGGAAGGGCCTTCCTTCTTGGGTCTTACTGCACCTGTTCTTATTCAACAGCAAGTTACTTGTAGGTGCGAAAAGCCTAAACCACCACTGTCAAGAGCTAGTGCAAAAGTGATAAAAACCTAATAAAGATTAAGGGCTTATACCTGAATTCTGTTATTGTTTCTTTCTTCTCATGGTAGTGATCAATTTCTCTCCTCAAGGACAGCATCCAATTCTAAACAAAAATAAAAATACAACATTCAACACAACCATCTTTAAATCATTAAACACAGATGTATCTGTCCTCTGTAAGAACAGAGCAACTGTGCAGGGAACACACACTGAAATAGTATATATCCATGACTTTATATTGAAAGGACTCAGTCAAATGTTTTCACTGCCTAAAATGCTGTAAGAACATACTGAAATATTAAATTTTCAGTTTTCAAGTTTCAAGCTGTTATTTCCAAAACTAGGTACCTATTTGTAGTATGTTTATGGGCAAGAGATTTCACTGAACAGTTTTCATACTTTATGAAAGGTTTAAACATATAAATATTTGTTCCTTGGCTAAAAATAAATATGAAATATTTATGGAATATGGAGAAACATATGCTATCTAGTATGACACTTACAGCCATTCCCTAAATTACAAGTTGAACTAACACCAACTTAGTAGTTAAAACTTCAGACATGATTTTCAGAGGAGCCCAAAGAACTAGGTATACAAATTTCAGCGACAGCTGCATTGCCAGTTCATTTAGATTTTAGGGAAGTCCAAGATTTGCTTTCCACTTCAAGGAAAAATTATATTGTAAAAGAAGAAGAAAGTTACCTTTCTTTCATCTTCAGAAGAAGCTGAAAAAAACCACGTCCTGTGCTTCTTGCTTATGTGAACTAACTTGAAAGGAAACACATTACTTGATGTTGTCTCCTCAGCTGCCCGCATAACCCTGAGAAACACAACGACCGATATAGAAACACCTTAATCTATAAAGTTAATGCTGCTGAGCAAGTCAGAAAGCTCTGACAGAAAGCAGTTTTACTGGCCAGTTTTGCCTGATGAAAAATAACCCCCAAGCCCAGGAAAACACCCCAGAAATCCCCATATGTGCACTGGTAGTACTTCTCCATTTAAGTGGTAGAAAGGACAATGCAAGAGCTCTGACAGGAGGAAGAGCACTCATTCGACCACCAGCCAGAATTATGAACGGATGCTTTGACGTGTCCAAGAGTTTTAGTGAACTGCATTAATTCACAAGTGTCACACACAGTAAGAAGTATTTAGGGTGCTTGTGGTCCTTCTTTCAGAAAGGTACTATTTCAGAGGACAAATCAAAACATATGCTTCCCATGAAAAAAAGGAAAATTAGGAAAACTAATATTAAAAGTTAATTTTGTCACTTTTCCCTCATAAACACTTTCTTGCACTTTTTTTTCTATTTTAAAACAAGCATAACTCAACTTCTTTCTTTTTTTGTGTGTATACGGAATTTCCTCATTTGAGATTCCTCTGGGAAAAAAAAAATAAAAACCCCTTCATGCAACTACCCAGTTGAATAATTCTTTCATTTCAAATTCTTTTTCAATAATGTTTCCCTCGGTGCATAATACTGAGGCCTAGTCCCTATTCCAACCAAGGTCTCCACAAGGTTGCTAGAATGCAGATATATAAAAAGCAATAACACAGTCTCTAGCATTTACAAATTCCGTGGTGTTTTTCATATTAACGTGGATTACAGGAGTTAGTGTCACAACCACGTTATACCATGAGTTTCTTCTACAAATTAATCTTGAGTTTTTAATTAGCTACAATGTTTACAAGTGCATTCCCCTAAAATATGCCACTGTTGTGCTCAGTTAGAAAAGCTGTCACAGTCTAAGAAAAGATAATTCCTTATTCCAGAAGTCTGAGAACATTATACAGTACAATAATAACAAATTGCACTGATATTTCTCTACATTCCCTCTCTCATTAAACCTTTCTTAGCAATTTCCTAAGGTTGGATTGGACTTCCATTAGTAGGCCTTGTAGATCCTGCACTCAGACTCTGACAGGACTGGCTAACCTGAAAGCCATATATTTTCGTCTTCAACTTACAAAGCAAATATTAAGATTTAAAACATAGCAAAACGAGTAAGACATCCTGCACGTGCATTCTCTTATTTATCACTCTGTAGTTCAAACAGTTTTGACACTAGAGTTGCTGAATCAGTAACTCCATAAATTTTCCTTTCTGATTCTTTTCTAGTTTTGTGATGATCATCGAAATCCCTACAGAACAAAGATCATTTGTCTGAAAGAATCCACAGCTATCTGCACAAGCATTAAGTCAATAACAAGAGTAAGCCCATTGCAATTCATACAGCTTTACTGGTCAAATTACAGAACATGAAGGCTACCCACTTGCCAAGCACTGGAAATGTCATATACACAATTTGAAAGGAATACTTCTCTTGGAATCCAAGATCAATGCTTAACCCAAAGAACAGATGTAGCTGTGTTTAACTTAGTTGGAAATTAAGCCCATAGTCTCTTGCATTAACTACAAGGAGTTCAGGTGTTAAACAAGTTTTTGGCACTCACCTGTTGTAACCTTTCAAAGAAAAGGCACCCTGGGGAGATGCAGATGTGCTGCTTTTAAAATAGTAGATACATCCCTCGTGGATAATCACAAATCTCAATGGCCCTGAAGAGATAAAAAGTGAACAAAACATGAATCCAAGGGCAGTACAATAACTAGAACTTGGGTAGAATTACTGCTTAAGATTTTAGTAACCTTATTAATCATTATAAATGAGCACGAACTAGTTAAGGGACAGCTTGCTGATGATCAATCACATGGTAAAGCTGACTATTCACAGAGTTTCAGGAGCATTTGATTCCCTCATTTGAGAGGCAGCTGATCTGAAAACTTCAAAAGCAGCCTCAGAGACTGCAGGTCTGACCTCCACCTGTGCTCCTTTACTAGCAGGATAAACAATAGGGGGAAGGTAGCTACAGGCTACAAATACTTGTTTACATCCATCCCAAAACCATGATGGTATCTCTTCTTTCACCTTAAGTACCTAATGCTGCCAATAAAATGATGTTCTATTTTCTTTTTTGAAAGGGGCCAAGACTCCTTCCTATATCAAAGGCAGTAATCTTTGTCCTTAACTATATAATGTATAGCTTCAATATAAACAGGAATAGCATATGAATAGCACACAAATAAAGCCAAAACCTGAAGTTTTCTCCATGTAAACAGACTCTGATTTCAAAAGAAATTACTGGTTTTAAGTACAGCCCAATGTTGGCAGTGAGAAAATTTCCATTTCACAACAGCAACAGGAGTTGGGATATTTTTCCAGTACAGATTAACCAACTGGAAAAAAAAAGCTGAGTACTAATTTCTTTTAGAAAAGAGTATTTGAAATTGATACTTATCCTAGGAATCTGTCTTGAAAAATCTTACTTGTGAAGGACTTGACAAGAAATTTAAACAAGCAAAATAAACGACAACATTTGTTATTTAAGATTTACAGTTCCAAAACAATTAAAGGAGAAATCTTTCAGTAGGGGTCTTTCATACATATGTTCAGGTAAAACTGTATTCCAGTACAAAGTAAGTGGAAGAACAGCTTCAATAAAGAGTCTGCTAACATGATATGTGTTAGAGGCCCCAGAGGCAAGCATTTAAAACACCTAATTTAGTTAATACTCATTCGACTTACACTTCAAGATCTGCAGCTGGGTGCCTCCTTTTTTATGAAGATACCCCGATTTGGTCACTCCTCCAGGCATTGTCAGAAGGTTTTGTGCTCCAATTGCCTTCATTGGGACTGGCCAGACCTGCTCCTGCGAGGCCATCATTCTGCAATTTTGAAGAGTTAAAAGCAGTTTAAAACTTCTATTTTACTTTAAAGAGTGAGTACTGAGAAACAAAGCTTGTTTCCTTAAACAAGCTTTCCAAACAACTAACGTGGTTCAGCACTCAAGAATGTAGCACAGACGGGTGTTCAAAGATTCCAGGAACTTTGCAATGTATAAAAAACTGTGGTGCAAAAAGTCCCGATTTATTTTTGTACAGCTCTCAGGAGTGATTGACAGTAGTTGAAACAATGGAAGAGTGCTTAGTAAACGTTATTTAAGTATTTCTGTGTTAAAAATGCTCCAGATAACACTGCCAGACTTAATCAGGCAGGTGACTAGAAAGAAAATTGGTTTTTTCTCCCAGTGCTACACCACCACACATGTAAATACAATGTCATTTTCTGTACAATGAGGGACTCAAGCCCAAGTTTAATAACTGAAGTATCTAATACTACCTACTCCTGATATTTACATGTTTTATTCTGAATGAAAAGATTAGTATATAATCTCATACCAGATATTATATGCCACAATATCCTGTGCAAATGAAGTTCATCTCAGATTGCTGCAGGCTTCCATTTAATTTATATACCAATCATTAATGCCATGCTCCAAGCTCCTTTGCAGTTACCACTCTTTCTGCTGTCATCTTAAACCAAAAAGATTAGTTTCTTAGGTAGCAGCTTTTTCTGATATATAACTATGAGCCCTCTTTTTCTTCAAATGGTGACAGAACTAGGCTAAAAATCCTACTGGGTAATAGAGAAAAGAAATCATGCGTGGACTGAATGGGAATTTTGACCTAGACATAAAAGGGTCTTTTATCTTCAGGTGTAGGGCTAGAGACCTTTGCTGGTAAAAGGCAAACTAATGAAGTTCCAGTTAATTAATTTCTGATCAAGGAATGATGGTTTAGAACTGATAAGCTTTCAGTGGAGGACTGAAATCTAATGGATCTTGTTTGCTTCTCCTTTACCCAAAAAGGACAGTAAGGGAGGTCAACAGGGAGGCTCAGCACAGAATCCAAGAGCCTCAGCACAAAGCCCTGCCCAAGCACTTTTCCCTCCAGCCTAAGATGGCAACTGAAGTTCCTATACTGAAAAGAACGAGGAAGTGTTGCAGGTTTTTTGAGGGATTAAGTGCAACAGCAGAGCACACATCCATTGAATATGTGTTAGGAAAAAGAGAAACGCCCGGCAATGGATCTTTAGGTGGATCAGCACAGGATTCAGATCTAACTGCTTGCCCTTGCTGATGATGTGTTTGTGGGAAAGGGTAGAAGTTCCTAGTAATTTCTACCAGGAGAATTTGAACTAAACTAAATTCTTCAGGCAGCCTAAAAAACTTAATCACAAAAATTAGGTTTTGGTCCCCAGTGTTACGAAGCAGGCACAACCAGAGGAGGTAGGACCCAAGGCACTAGAAAGGCTTTCACAGCAGACACATTAAGGCATCATGGTTTCCAAATTTTCCCCCATGACTTTCCTCCTTACCAAAAGCTAAGTTACTTTTGTTGTATTCAGCTGTATCCTTCCTTCTGCTGCTTCCTCCATGTTCTTATTAAATGACTGAGATCTTTCCAAGCTGAGTTGTTGCTTCCTCTTCCTCCCCCACAGTGAAATGTCTAGCACCAGCAATGTATTAACAGGTCCAAGAAGGGGCTACTCACATACTTAAAGCTTTTAAGAACAGTAGTAAAACAAAGAATAGCAGCAGAAGTTAACACCCCGCCCCAGCAAATCCTTCAAATTGTTACTCCACATCTTGCAGAAAAGTCTAAGTGAGGGAAATGGAGAGTGTTACCCAGCTGGCTGCTGACACTGCAGCACTGCTAAGAGTAATTTCCTTGAAATAGGGAATGCAAAGACAAGTCCTAGGCCAAATTCTTCTTTTAAGATGCGCTCATCAACATTCAAACATTAAAAATTAATTTATGATTATTTCAGTCTGTTTCTAGTTCTGTTCAGAGAAAAGATTAAGTGAAAGTGGAATCTTTTCATTCAGATAAATACACTCTGATGCCACTTTTCTTGAACTAACTCTAACTTTAGTCTCAATGCCATCCAACAGTTTCAAGTTCATCATGGCTCTTGAAATCCTGTGTGCCTCTACTACAAAGACCAGAACAAGAAAGGACTTAAGTACATAGAGTATGGTGTAAAACTGTTTCAGTGTTATGTTCTTAGGTTGAAAAGCTATCAGAAGAGGCAGAGTTAAATGTTTCAGAGAAGTTACCCAAAACAACCAGTAAGCTGAAATTTCTAGGAAGCCAAACACCGGGAACAAGTGTGTGACACCCTAGGTAAATACAGAAAACAGAAATATTTGTCTAGGTCACACTGGCCTTCTGTACAGGAGTACACCAGTCAGACTACTCACTAAAGCATGCCTGGATGGACATTTTCTTCCCCACCTGAAAAGCCAGAATTTCAGGAAGACAGGAAAAAAATAAAAATAAAAAAAAAATCACAGAAGCAGAGGAGCAAGCAGAGGGAAAAAAAAAATAAAGCCACTTCTACAGTGTGATGACTACAGGATTTAACTGAGGGGAAAGGACAGCAGAGTATCAGGTTCTGCTTCCTCTATCTACATTCATTTCTTTCTTCTGACTACTTACAATAAAACAGTCCTGAGAATAGAGAGCAAAACTTAGAACTTCTCCAATCCAGCTAACTGAATAAAAGGAGACATGGCTGAACTCCATGCAACCAAGTACACATTACTTGAGCTAAAGAGCCCACCTAATACACCAGGCTTTTCAAGAGATTTAGAAGCTGCTAAGCCTATTATCTGGATTTCATTGTGGCTTATAGCACTCCCCATCATATCTTTAGCTCCTCAAGCACTTTCATTTGCTGGCACACTGCAGACACCTTAGGGAGGACTTTCGTATTCGGAGTTGAAATCTTTGAGTTAGGCTTCTAAAATCCATTTAAGTACTTGAAATCTAGTCCCAGGCAGATTTTTCTTCTTTTCTTGACTGCAGAAAACAACTCTGTAAGGACAGATGACGCTGTTTTGCATCATGCTGCTGGGAGAAAGCTGTCAAAACTATGTAACTTCAGGATCTTCATTGCAGGGGTGGGAGAGAGGAAGGAAAAATGGAAGCTCTTAAAGATTTTTCTGGTCTTAGCATCTACAGTCTTTAGCTCACTGAATTGGTTCCTTCTGTTCTTGATATTCCTCTTATAATTTTTTAAATACATTACTTGAAGAACAGATCAATGTTGCATTACCAGGTATGCACAATAGCAAGCACTGAAGTCACTGCAGAGCCTGTTAACTTTGGCATCATTGAGAATAGAAAGATATTTCCAAGTTGTTTCTGATGCAGTTATATTCTTGCACTACAAGCCAAAGATCCCAGCACATATTTTCACTCCTGGTGCATAAGCAGAGTCTCTTCCATGGAGCTGACAAGGAAGTTACCAGGAAGGGCCCACAATGTGCAACTAGAGCTAAGACAAAGCTGTCTCTGACAGTGGTCCTCTGCTACAAACAAAAGGCAACATCACCCATGCAGTATTTGGTTGAAAGCTTCTAGTAAATAGCCACACACATTATTCTTCTTCCCACTCACCTAGGAACCAGATGCATTCACATCTGTGAGGCAATTTTAACATATCCTCTCAGTTAGAATAGCGAGATTGGAGGCTAGGGCATAATTTTACAGGCTAAAAGTCCTTCCATGAGTAAAAGTAAAATTCTGCCACATTAAAATCTGGATTACATTATAGAAGAGCACTTATCCCTCTTGGCCTTAAGAACTATTGGCATTTAGCCCAATTAAAGCAAGTACAAGCTGATTCAATTAAGGATTGCATCTGGAAAAGCCACAAGTCCTCAGTCTTGCTTAACTTCAGCAGAACACATGGCAGATATGATCATCTCCACATCTTGCAGTATATAGGCGTGAAAAAAACATTACCCTCATCTCTGAAACTACAGCTGCCAAAAGCTGTATTAAAAGTTCTCACTTGTTATAATAATATTTATGGTCTGTCCTGGAGCCCAGTTTGGTCATGCTGGAAAAAATAAAAAGCAGCCTCCAAAGCTGCTTTAAACCTGAAGTTTTAACAACTACCTCTATACCAATTGTGTCTGAGAACTTTTAAAACTCTGTAGTATCTCATAACCTCTAGTCTATAAATTCTGTTTTGAAAGTAAAACCTAACAAAGCCAGATGCTAGTTTCCTTCTGAATATATAACTTACATACAACATGACATATATAATCCATAACTTATAGAGCTGAATGTATTCCTCCTATTATGCAGAGGGAGACTGAAGTCTCTACAAAACGCTTTACCAAAACAGAGGCAGCATTGCATACTGCAAAACTGTAAAATGAAAGCTTCCCCTAGAGTGCTCTCATCGATTCTGAGCAAAAATGAGTTCTCTGATTCAACCACCTAAACATTTACCAGCTGTTCCCAAGGCTGCTTTCTGCAGAATTTTCAAGTCTCTTGTCCACTTAGTCTCCAGTACTTCTGAAATACTCTTCCATATCTCTCCCAGTTTTTTGGCTACACATTCCATTTCTTAATACTTAACAGCCCCTTTCACAATAGTTTCTCAGAAAGATTAATAGCACAGTACAAGCACTGTGAAGTCAAATAAATCTTACAAGACAAAGGGAACAGAGAACTAAGCCTGACTGAGATACACTGTTTTGAGTAAGTTTACTCTGTTTAACTTGCTTCAACTTGCTTTTGTTTTCTGGCAAAAGTTTTCAACCAACACCCTCCAATTATTTATCCTTTAATTTTCTGCATGAGTTAAAAGTATTTTACCCCAGAGACCATATTCTACTCTCAGTTGTAGCCTGCTCTCTACCTTAAAGAGAAAAGATGACAGAAATACAAGCCACAGAAAGCACTAACCTGGTGACCTTGCCAGATCGACACATAGTTTTCCTGCTGGCAGTTTCACCGAAAGATTGTTTCCTTTGTGATGACAAAGCCATTAATAACTTGTGACCCCCCTCAGGCATGACAGGAAC